GGGGGGGGGGCAATGGTGGGCTGCCTTTGAAAGACTAGAAATCAGTGGCAGTGATGGAATCCATACGATAATAAATTTGGGGGGGAGGGGGCGCTTTATTTGGAAATGTCATAATACCGTAGAGGCAGAATGCCCTAGGTACTTACCCATCCGTGAGAGCTGCACAGATTACTAGAGTACTATAACTACTGTTTACGATTATCCGGAGTCACCAATAGGATATTAATTATACTCAAAACATTGTGATAAAGAAGAGCTGCCCAGTGTATAATACATTTTAGGAAAATTTCCAAGAAAAGAAACATATAAAGCTTAATTACTTCAAAAATGTTAAAACATCAGTAATTTAAAAATTCAAGTATGTGGAAAGCTTCATTCCCAATAATGCCAGAGAAATAGGGTGCAGATATGGCTGGATGGCTTAACAGCAGAAGAACCTGAGTCCAAGACTCTGTATAATCTAAATCAAGCACAATAATTGGATTCAGTTCAGTTCCAGATGATAACTACAGCCTTAATCTCATCTCAAAGTAAAGACTTTCCCAAACACACAAAAAAACACATAATTTCCATATATAAACTTTATTCCATTTGACATAATACAAAACTTTAAACTTAAAGAAAATGAAAATAGGCACCTTTTACAAGTCAAAAGAAAAGCAAGTTTTAGCATTTGGATTGGTCTGCAAAACACACACACAAAAAACCCAAATACATTAGAGGTACATAGTGTGCTACAGCAGGTCTAAAAGAAGTTGTACAGAGTCCTTTTGAAAAAGTTAAAACTGTTTCCAAGGTTACTTTTCATATTTAAATGTACAGGCATTGACCAATTTACAAATATTTACACAACCCCAAACAACCTTAATAAACACTCGCTTTTTCAGCAGCCACTACTTCATGTGGAAAAGAAACACTAAAAAAGGTATCTTTACAAGCATGAGCTTTTATTTATAATTCTTATGTCTTACCCTAAAACACTGTATAGAGGCTTACTGCCTAAAAATTCCAGTTTAGATTACAATCCTATAATTGCACACAGAAAAAATGTGATACCATCAATAGGTTATAATCTCAACTTTGACCTTTCAGTTTCTGTTGCTTCATGTCACAGGGAAAATAAAAGCACGAAATGGGAAGAAAAGCTAATGTGCATAGTGCACTAAGCTACCATAAAGCACAGGGTAAGACTTGATCTTTTCAAAATGTCTACACTGAATTTTTTAAAACAATTCACTAACTGCTGTTCAATACAGAGTTAGTGCTCATGGTACTACAGTGCAAAATGTATGGTTACAAAAAATTTAAAGCAATCTCAAGAGTACATCAAAAGCATCTGAGGTACTAATGAAATACTAATACAGACACACCCCAAACCTCTATCCCGGTGAGTCAAGTGAAGACTTAAGGCAATTGTCCAGTATTTCATGCGTCTGCAGTGATTTCATTGAAATAAAGGATTTCATTTTGCTTCAAGTAACTGAGTAACTGACTTCAATCTTCACTTTACTGGAACAGACAGGCAACAACTATCTATTACAGATTATACTCTCCAAAATTCCACAAATCTCTTCAGTATTAGCATGTGGTACAATTAATTGAAGTTATATCAAAAACCTTTTATTTGTTCAGATAATTCCCCAAAAAATATTTTATCTGATCACCTGAAAATTCATGCCATAATATTACTAATCACCAATGTAAACATTTTCAAAAATACATCTTTAAATCAAAGGGTTTTATTAGGAAATGTCTTAATAAAATATGCAATCTTTATATAAGTATGTCCTCTTAAAAATAAAACATGAAAACAGGAACAATGAAAAGAAACTACGATGGAGGTAAACAAAATGCATTATGGTGTTATTATTGTTCTTTTATATCTCAAAGATTTGTTAAGAAAGAGAGGCCAGTCATCTTTTCAGGAGAGCAGCTCTTAAAGGTAGTATACTGTTCAAATCTTTTTTGTTTCTCAATCTGTGCCATGACTGTGAGAAAAAGAAAAATCATTCTTAAAACCTAAAAGATATGCAAAACAAAGCCTGAAAGGGAAGTTACTAGAATGTTAATAGTAGTTCTCTCTAGGTAGTAAAATTTTCAGTGATTTTTTTCCTTCTTTGTGTTTTTATCTCCCAAGTTTTTAACACAGTACAAGTATTATTTCTGCCATCAGAAAAGGTTCTTTAAAAACGCTATGCCTGTGTGACTTCAATTAATAAAGAAATGAATGTATAGGTGGTACAAAAAGATACAGTCGACAATACTAACACTTATTCACAGATTTAAATAATTTCATCTAAAACAGCAAGGCACAGGGTAATGAAAACACAACCTTTGGGTTTGAGAGAATAAGGGAAGATTACTTCAATGATCTGATTGACTATTTGGCATCTAGTAAGCTTTTTCAATTAAAAATAGTATTTATGAAGGAGACAGTAAATCTATTAAAAACCACTTTTTATATGCCTCTAGAAAAGACAAATAAGTTGAATTGGTAAGAAAGAAAAGGAACTGATGGAAGCTCACCCATCAACAAGAATAGCAACGTAAGCAACACTACTTTTGAGTTTTCAATGTAATCTGACAAAAATCTTGAGTATCTGTTTCATCCTGCAAAGTTCCATCCTTTTTAAATTTTCTACTCTGGCTGACAATTGAGGGGAACTAATCTGAAGAACAGCCTATAATATGATACACTTGCATTTCTAATTATCATCAAAATAAAGTCCACTTGCAGTCTTAGTAACGGAAAAGTATGCCTCTAAAATGATCTTCACAGTTTGCTGATCTTCTCTATGAAGCATCTCATCCTGTATGTCTCACAGTACAAATTTCTATCAGTGTGTTTCTACACTGTACTGTGGAATTCACTGAAGACAGAAACCACACCTAGCAAAATACTGATGAATAAATTCATAATGTGGCCTAAAGAGCTAAGGAATAAACTACAGTGTACAAATGTACATATGTATATGTATACATATGCATATAAGTGTGTACATTTGTATATATATTACCAAAGTTTATATATAATATATATAATGCATTTATGTACACAAACACTTTTTTTTTTTTTTTTAACTTCTCAAAACATAAACAAAGATAAAGTAGGATTCAAGTTCCTGTTACAGTGGGGCATCCAAAAGAAAAATCATGCAACTGACATCAGCTTTCTTTTAAGGCTACAATAAGTTCCCCAATATTTTAAGAGGCAAAGGAGTCCATCAGGCTTTAGTCACTCATTTTGAGAGTTTAATAGGTCACTATGGAAATGCTTACTTCCTGGAAAGTGAAAGCCATGTGAATGAAAACAGAGCCAGATCTCTCTGAAGGGAAAGTATATTTAAACTCAAGTAAAAAATTCCCTATTGTGCCACATTAATGGTTTCACAACACAAAAATCAGGGATACTCTGTCCTAATACATGTCTATTTCATTCTTTTCTTGACCAGTACATACGGTTCATTTTTATTTTTAATTTATCTTTATTGTTGAAAGTATTACAGATGTCCCTTTTTCCCCATTGACCCCTTCTACCCTGCACCCCCACCCCCACCCCAGGCCTTCATCACACTATTGTCTGTGCCCATGGGTTATGCATATATGCATATAAACTCTTTGGTTAATCTCTCCCAACCTCCGGCTTCCCTCTGAGATTAGTCAGTCTGTTCCATGCTTCTACATCACTGCACACTAGGTCCACTAATGTTTTTAAGAGTTACTCTGATACACTGTTTACCTTTAAAAATTGATCCTTTATCATGTCAAACTTCTGCTTTTCATGTACAGCTCTGGCTGTATTTGTTCCATCAAAAGGTTCTGCAATGTTAAATGCACATATAAACAAAAAATTATTAAAATGAGAGCTTCAGTTTTTTTATTTGGTTGAACTATATGAAATTGTCAATATCTGACAGTTTTTGACCTAGAAAATAGCACTTGCATATGATTCAGCCTAATATCTTACTAGATTTATGCATATTGAAAATAGTTTTTTATAGCTATGAACTATCTAATAAGGTAGAAAGAATTCAAATGAGAGGATAACTAAAAATGAAGCCATCAGCATAAGTATGTTAAATCTAAATCATAAAAGTGGTTAAGATTTCTGAAGAATTACAGAGGCTCAAACACCTATCCTTAAAGGAATAAAAATAAGTTAAAGAATTAAAGTTATCAAAATGAATAAAGCACATATCCAAGAGACATGATCAACGTCAAATATCACAGAAAGATAATTTTAAATTTAATTTTAATTTAAAAGATGATTGATTTGTCAAGCAGGAAGAAGATCAATACCTTTGAAAGTAAAGGCTTAATGTTGGTGAGGATGGAAGACAGCGCAGAGAATTATGGTGTGAGTGGATGGTTTAGAAAAAGATTCAGTGAGAACAGTAACTTGCATGAGAAACTTGGCAATGAAAGAAAAAAGAGAACAGGGATAACAAGTACAGGAGACAGGAAGAAAATGAAGTTTTCGAGAATAGAACATTACCTTCCATACCTTCAACCCCACCCCTCACCCTTCACTCGCAAGATAAGAAGGAAGAGCTCCTACAGACAGACAAAAAAATGTCTTATAGAGAGAAAGCAGAGAAACTGCAGTTGGCGGTGAGAAGATAACTGCAGGCAGTGTGAGTAAGACGAAGACGGGACAGTGGAAATAATGCCGACTAGGTGAAACTACCAGAGTTTAAGAAGTTTGACAAGGAAAAAGAAAAAAAATACTGAGAAGAGGCAACAGAATCAAGCCAAGAGTATTTTTCAAGGACAAGAATCATGTGTGCCTTACAGCTGAGATCTGGAAAAAGGGGCAAATCTGATGGAGAGATTAACTTTAGATTTGTAATACAACCTATTGCTTAGGAAGGCTATTTATAAAAGTTTATTGTCACAGTACTGGTGTTTTTTTTTCCCAATAGAATAATGCCATATGCCAAACTATCAGATCACATAATGCACAGCACTTTACAAGTGTTTAATATTCAAAAGGACACAAATAACTAATATACACCCACTGTGTAATTCAGCAAACCAAACATCAAAGCAGATTTAATTTCACATTCACAAACTCTTAAGATGTTGCACATAATCCAAGATTAAAATATCCTAAATTTGATGTTTTCCTTACAAATGCTGAGTCTCAACCCTTTGTTCTTTTTTTTACCTCAAGATTGACAAAAGGCATCATCCTGACACCTGTGAGAACAATTTTGCCTTTTGAAGTCAGTTTCTCACTGACTCAAAGAAATAGTCAATTACATGTAAATTAATTTTAGATAACAGAGTATCTCAGCATTAATTTTTAAAGTAAAATCAATTTCTATTCATAAAAATCTAGCTTGCATTAAGAATTAATATTTTAAGTATAAAAGAACCAATTTTATTTCAATATAAGATTGAAGTTTCCGTCAACTACAAGCAAGAGGGATGCATAAAGACTGCTCAAATATTACCAACTGGAAACACTAAATGCCTAAATTCACGTTTGCTATTTCCTACAAATAAAACATTTTAAATTATTTTTAAATATTAAATTAAAATCTTGTAACTTAAAGATTTGCAAAGCACTTCAGAACATAAATTTATTACTTTATAATAATATAAGCTGAAATTTTTCAAGTAATTCTCTCAGTACCATGATGATAACTGAATGATAGAGAGTAGTTGTGGGAAAGCTACCTTCTACACAGATGTATTTATTTCTCCATTCAATACCATCAGGCCTGGGAATGGCTTTGGCTTCACGAACTGAAATCATTTGACTGTTCCAGCTATAAAAAAAACATTAATCATGTTAACTACTTTAATTTCCCCTTTATTATTTTTATTATATCAGCAGTAAGGCCTACTCTGATTTTCTCGAATACTAAAACTTGCGTCAACCCTCAGCCAACACAATCCCCATTTCCCCTTCTCCACTTCTTTGTTCTCCACAGTACTTCTAGTCTAACAATTTGCTTAGTTATTATTGTTTATAGTGTGTCTCTAAGATGCTAAATTATTTCTGTATTTTTTCACTGTTCAACTAGTTCTTTAGTACAAACTAGGTGCTTAATATTTACTTCTGGAATAAATGAAACAATATAAAAAAGTAAGAAACCCTGGCCAGGTGCCTCAGTTAGTTGGAGCGTGGACCCACACTTCAAAAGATTGCAGGTTCGGTTCCCAGTCAGGGCACATCCTAAGTTGTGGGTTCAATCCCCAATTGGGCATGCAAGAGGCAACTGATGGATGCTTATCTCTCTCTCCTCCTTCCTCTCCCTCTAAAATTAATAAAAACATATTCTTGGGTGAGGATTAAAAAAAAAAAAAAAGACTATGTTAAGTAAGCAAAAAATATAAAACCTATATTCATTAATACCACACTAAGAATATCTTATTTAAAGAGTTAATCTTGTGTTGTTTTCTGATTTTATTCATAATTTTTGTTCGAGTGCATATCTATCTGCATAATTTAGGAAAAATTTTTGAAATTTTCCAATAGATGCAAGTAAAATAATTTTATCTGCATGTCTGAAGGCAAGTTATCCAGTCTTTAGTATGTACTAACATAACATTGTTTTTTTGTGTTTTTTAATTTTTTTTTAAAATCCTCACCTGAGGATATTTTTTCCATTGCTTTTTCAGAGAGAATGGAAGGGAGGGAGGGAGAGAGAGAAACATCAACGTGAGAGAAACACATCAATTGCCTCCTGCACGCTTCCCAACCAGGGTCAAGGATCGAGCCTGCAACTGAGGTAGTGCCCTTGGCTGGAACTGAACCCAGGACTCTTTAGTCCTTGGGCCAACACTCTAACCACTGAGCCAAATCAGCTAGGGCCATAACACTGTTGTTTTTAAAAACTTATTTACAATTATTATAGTCTTGTACAAGCACTACTTTCTTTTTTTCAAGGATCATTCTAATACGTATAACTACTCAGCCAGTATACAAGAGAAAAATGAGTTTGGGGAACAGTGGATTTTTTTTTTTTCAGTCTTATTTAGCTTTGCCACCATTTCAGTAAGAAGAGAAAAGCCCATGGTTTTAAGACCTTCCAAGTCCAACACCTGCTCTACTCTTCCTATATTTATTAGATAGAGAATCCATAAGAATATAATTGTGGGTCCAATATAGCATTTGTTTCTGGAAAATTAATTTCTACATTAAATATTGCATCTTGTGAAGTTTGATGATTGAAAAGAATACCCAAAGTATGGTTTTCTACATTTGCTTATCAAGAGTACAGTTTAGAAGTACAGGGTGGGGCAAAAATAGGTGTACAGCTGTTCATATGAAAAAATAACACAATAATTAATAAATAATAATACAAGAATAAACTCTGTGTTTCATATACGCACAATGGTAAATCTACTCTTGCCCCATCTTATAATTTGCAAGAACAGCTTTAAGTTATTTAAAAATACATATATATCAGAATTTATGCTATTAAAAAATAAGTGGGTTGTCAAAGAGAAATACTTAGTGTTGGTTATAGTAGGATGTTTTAGATCCTTCATGTACAGCAGTATGGATTCAAATCAGAAAAGTATATTGCTCTATTGTTTCAAGTGTATTTCTAAAATTTTCTTAAACATAACAATGTAAAGGGGAGAGTTATACAACCACATGCCTGAACCAAATAAGATTCCAGAATTACACTTTGTGGTACTTCACTTTATACCACTTAAGAGAAATTTCACTAATAAAATAGTTTTTTCCTGAGACTACTTGCTTCTTATGTCAACTTATAGGACAGCTGAATTTGCCATACAATTAAAATTGGTGACAGTATGTTAAAAAGGGGTAGGTTGACTTTCTTCTTTCAGATGAGCTTAGAATGTTGCAATACTGTGTCCTGCTGTTAAATTACAACTTTTATTTCTTTAAATCATAGGAACTCCCCTCACCACTATATTTCTATTAAATCTAATCCTGACTCTATATTACATGCCAGTACTTGGTTCTAAACTGGGTCACAGAAACATGTGACATACCTACATTCACTTTATTGTCACTAACCAGATACCACTTAAGCTTCAACCTATAATCAACCCCAATAATGCAGTTATTTAAATGACTATATCATCAGAAATACTGAAGAACTTCAGAGAGAGAAAAAAAGAATATTTTGAATCACTACCATTTAAATTGATTCAATCTGGTGTACTTTCAAAAAACTTTTAAATATTTCTAAATTAAATATTTCAAATCATAAAACATGATATATAACATATACTATTTCTACTCTTAGAGCTGAATTTAAATGTAGAATTCAAATGGTAATTTAGAAATATTTTCCCTAAATATTTCATTCTTTAATACAAGTCCTAAACTAAGCCTTTTATTATATCATACATCTCTACCATAACTTGCTTGCCATGTGAAAATCTGTTATTGTCACTTATTAATTAAAGTGTAAAATAAGATATAGTCTATAGAAAAGGGATGTTTCATAAAAGAACAATAGAACAGATGTGGAGCATAATTTAACCTAAAATAGATAATATATACTAATCTTTTTTTTTTTTTTAATATATCTTTATTGATTTCAGAGAGAGGAAAGGAGAGGGAGAGAGGGGCAGAAACATCAATGATGAGAGAGTCATTGATCAACTCCGCAACCTGGGCATGTGCCCTGACCAGGAATTGAACCCTGATTGCCTGGATCCCAGGTTGACGTTCAACCGCTGAGCCACGCCTGGCCGGGCAATATATACTAATCTTTTTAATATAAAACTGAGATTACTGACTCCATGTTAGTAAGATGCTCACTTCTTTTCTTCAGCAGTGATAATGAACTGGTAGTCATCTATTAATTCTCTTGCCATTCTTTCTGTGACATTTTGAGATGATTGATTAAATTGGAAATGTAGTCTTCAGCAACATTACAAAGAAAAATTTAAGTCTAATAAAGTCAAATTATGGGTCTGATACCACAAGGCTGCATATATACTACGACTAGTCAAATTAAGTGAACAAATGTATACAGTTTGTTTTATTATTAAGAGTTGGGAAGCAAACAAAAAGAAAACTGTGTTAGGGATTTGAAACCTCTTAAGCAGAGAGGAAATTTTACTCTAATTCTAGAGTTTTATTTTGACTGGCTCTTCTGCCTAACCCTTTGTAAGTGCTGGTGTTCATCAGAGCCTTGCCTCTTTCATTCTTCTAATGCAAGAACCCATTCCAGGCTTCAATACTCTATTATTTTACATAAATAATCCTTTCTCCAGCTCTAACCTTGCTACTAGGCCCCAGGCCAATATTTACCATAACTACTGGAAACTGCCACCCAGATGTCCTATAGGCATCCCTGTGCCTACATGTTCAAGACTAAATTTAATACATTCTGTATGGTCAATTATTAAAATCACTCCCTTGCATAGCCCCTCAACTCTCTTACCTGTTCTTGCTGCACTGAAGTTACTGGGATGAAACACAACCATAATTAAATCTTGTCTACTCCAATAGTTTCCCATGCAGCTAAACACGGCTGAAGGAAAACATGCAACCCTGATGCCCTTTAAATTCACGATCACTTTAAATTTATGATGTCTTAGCTCAAAGGACCTTAAATGCTACTATACACCAATCATACTTTATTCCCAGTTTCTCTACTCTTCCTACGTGACAATTCCTATCTTCTCCTCCCTTCTCAAATTTCCTCCCTCATCATTCCAGCTGAAGTCCATGCTTCACTTCACTAAGAAACCCCAAAGCAATGAAAAGATAATCTCTACTAGCCCCCACCAGCCTCATCCGTGTCCACACACATATTCTGCTTTTCTCATTATTATTATTGTTTGTGCTCCTATTCCACTTCTGCTCTGGATTCCAACTCTTCTGAATCAAACACGTATGCATACTGCTTAACAATTTACTGTCTTTTTCTGGTATCATCAATTTTGCCATCAAGATGGGTTAGTTCTCATTTCTAAAAACAAAACCAAAAACTCAACCCCACTAATCCTCCAATTTCTACCCCATTTTTCTGCTCCCCTTTACAAGTATGTAAACTCCTCTAGAGTTTATAGACACACACCTACCTGTATCTAACCCTCCTTCTGTTCCCTCTTAAGCCCACGCCAACAAAGCTTTTTATCCCCATTATTCCACAGAAACCGCTCCTGTCAGAGGCCCATGAGTGGTCTCCATGTGGACCAATGCACCAGTGATTAGCTTTTAGCTCCCATTTTGTACTTGAACTATCAAAAACTGTGACACAGATAATCACTCCCTTTTCTTCTAAACATTTTCCCCCCTTGGATTTCAAGACACTACATTCTAATGGCTTACCGCCTACCTCAACGATTCTTCCTTTTCAGACTATATATTAGTTCCTCTCATCCCTAATCTAATTTTTATTTCATCTTTGCATTATGAAATTTTTCAGAGATAAAATGAAAAGCATAAAATTTAAAAAAACAATTCAACAGTTGTTAACATTGTGCCACATTTGCTTGTTTGTGTATATGTACGTTTTAAACTGAACCACCTGTTAAGCTGTAGATATCACGAAACTTCATTCCTTTATCCTTTGGCATTTCTCTCTTAATAAGACCATTCTCCTTTATACCAGCAGCATCTAGAAGTCAACAGTAACTCAAATGCCTCTCCACCCTACAATGTAAGGGCCATGAAGACAAGGATTCATGCTGAGTCATCATCTCTCTTCATGCCCATTCTATTAACCGCTATATTCCCAGTGCATAAAAAAATAGCTTGGTATACAGTAGGCACTCAATGATTTATTGATTAAATAAAATGAGGAGAAAAAAGCAGAACAAAAAAGGAGATTAAAAAATTAGGCCTTTGTAATTTCCCTTTTTAAAAATGTATGTGTTTAAGTGTATAAGTATGTATTTTTAATTTAATAGATAGACTAGCAATAATGACACGTGAAAAGGTATCCAGGAAATAAAGAAGACTATAAAATGGCTACCTTTTAAAGTTCACAAACTCTAGTATCTATGAGCCTGTAATATTTAGAAGTTAATTTTTTTGCTTTGCTAAAATACAAAATTATTATGTTCTCACTATTTTTTCGAGATTCCCTAAGCCACCTGATCCTTTCCCCCCATTTTGTCAGTTCCCTGTTCTCACATACAGTTTCTGAAGCCTGGTTTCATTGTGGGCTTTTCAGCAGCAAGGTGTAGGAGAAAGCTATGAGTTAAGTAGACAAGAAAATCTTAGTAGTTTTTAAATGGCTATATAATATTTCTGCAGCGTTTATACTGTATACTCAAGCATCTCTTAAAAGGCATTTAATTCTGTGTTCAAGTATAGAGAATCTTTTAATTGCATATTTCCAAGTTCAGAAGAAATCCTTACAAACATTTCTAACAGCTGTCAAGATTGTGCACAGCACCTAGTTCATTACCATGACTACATTCTTGGCTGTGCTCCCTACAGTCAAATTTCTGAAAATATCTAGTATGAAACAATAATGCACTTGACAAATGCACTATATGATGAAAGACTAGAGGAAGACAGCTCCTGCATCATGTATCATAGTGATAACAAATGCATACAAAAGTTCAAAACCTCTTTCAAGCATCAGCATCCTAGCTAGTATCCTTTGGCACAGCAAGCTAGTTTCTGCTAATGCTAAACTAACACGCAAACCTACACACCTACCATCATGTTTCAGTCCAACAAAGTGGCGATTTTCAAGGAGTTTGTATGTAGGTGCTCTAATCCTAGACTATACATGGCAGAAAATTTAACTTTTTCCTATGAATCCTTTTCCCTCTACACTAGTTTCCCTAACTTATATGACACAACAGATGATGCCAATATGGTCTAACAATTTAGATTGTGGTTTTTTAGTCAAACCTGAATTTGAATCCCAGTTCTTTCACTACCTGCTGTATTGCCATGGGCAAGTTCACAAATTAAATGAGATAATACATGGGAATCACTCGACATACTCAAGGACCGTAGGTCAAGAAATACTCACTAAACATTAGCTATTGCTACTGCAATATCTGAACTCCACAATAATTTACAGTTTCTATGTCCCATGTTTCATATAGTCTTACATCTTTCCTCATCTTTACGTAAATGAAGGCTCCTTCCTTTTTATCCTTGTTGTCTGCACTTATATTTACATCATTTTAACCTGACTATTATAACTTCATTCTTACTGAACTACTTTCTTCCAGCACTTTTCCTACTCCTTTTCTTAACCTTACACAGTAATTTTAGTCATCTTAAGGACATCTGAATCAGGTCCATAATCTTACTTTCTGCTTCAAAATTATTTACTTGTAACAAGTATCTGTTAAGTACCCACTATCTGGCACTGAGCTAGGTACTGGAGACACAACAGTAAACTAAACAGGTACAGTCTGGTATAAGATTTACTTTGAAAAATTTAAATAACATTTTATCTTTCATGCCCTAAGTTTAAAATCATCTTATATAAGTCAGTTTCCTTTAAAGCTACTGAATCATGTATCACAGTTAAGAGTGTGAATTTTGCAGTCAAAATTATCTGAAATACTTCCCTTACAAGTCATGTGGTCTTAGTGCAAGTTTCTTAACCTCTATATGTCTCACTGGTAAAATGGGCATAATATAATGCCATCTTATATGGTTATAATGTAAACAGAATGAGATAATACATATAATCTGTTTAGAGCAGTTTATCCCACCTGGTAAGAGCAATTTATTACTGTTACTATTATTATCCTCTGTCCAAACCTCTTCAGTGTGGGACTCTGTGATCACTGTACTTCTCTAACTTTGTACAATTCCTAAATCCTTTCTCCTACTCCTTCAAGTTTTTCTAAATTGACCAGAAGAGCTGCGAACAAACCCTAATCCCACTCTATGAAATGAGAACTTCCATAAGAGCTTTCAGTTATGTCCAGTCTGATTATAAACTTCCTTTCATATTTACACATCACCATCAAAAAAAAAAGGAAAACGAATATTCCTTGATTTGTATATCAGATACCACAACTATTAAATTCACATATCAAGTATTAAGTAAATCTTTTTCCAAGTTTGTCTTAACTGTGTTTTTCACTACAAATTTTCAGTATCTAAAAAAATAGATGTTTCAAACAATATAGTATCTACATAGGATCAACACCAACACTTTTTCAGGCACTAATATGAAAAGAGGCAGCTAAACGTAAAATGGGATCACTACTTAAAGCAACTAAAACTGGGCTTAATGAACTATAGTTTTTATTAACTAGGAATGTGAAATCTACTTAGTTTCTAATAATTAATCTTCAGATATTAAATTTTATAAACTACACATTTCTGGACAAGTTTACAGCATTGAAGTTGACAAATATAACTTCTCGAGCAAATGTGTACCACTCATTTATATATAAATGAATAAATACAACTTGAAGTTTCACTTACTCGAATTCTGTAGCATAATATTTAAGAAAGCCCAGTAAGAGGTCCCCAAGATTTGATTCATTCTTTGAGAGGTAAGGAGGGACATTACATGGAACTTGATGTACAAGGTGCAGCTGTATAGCAGGACTAAAAGATTCCTGTCAGGGGAAAAAAGGGAAATGTAAAGCCATTTAAAACACATACTAAAAACTTTATAAATCCTGTCCTAAAGTGCTCTGAAGAAGAGAGAGAAAAAATTTTTTTTTATGTTGGCATTTTGGAAATTTGAAGATTTTCTTACACTTAAGCTTTCACCACTGTTTGGAGTAGACCAGAAAGTACCTGAAAAACTAAGATATTCTAATCCTTGGCTGAGATATAGCAACCAATGAATCCATAAGGAAGCAAGAGATTTTCTAATTCATAAATAAAACCTTACTGTTCATGCCAAAATTCCATCCAATAACGTAAAGGTTTTTTACAAATGTATTTCCTTCTTAATTATTTCTATAAGGAACAGTTGTACTTTATGAAGGCTATATCAAGCACAAGTAAGAGCTCTTTCTGCCAGTTAAAATTTCTCTCAAAGGCCACAAAAATAACTTTAATATATGAATAGTACCTATACCAATTTAAAATTTTTGTTTCATTTGTTTTTGTATCTTACAGGGAAAAGATAGACATCCAACATGAACTGAACTTGCAAAGACAAAGAGGGCAGGGAAGAGAAGAAAGACAGGAAACATACCAGCAAGCAATATTCAGCAAACTTTTAGCAAAATATTCATAAAGGAAGTTATCATTTGCTTGCAATCCAGGACCAAACAACACACTTCTTAGAAAGAATGCTAATGGGTACTTACTCTTTTGCCTATGGTATGCCACTCATTTTCATATCTAATCTTTCCTCTAATAGCAGCAAGCTCTGGCTTTAAAACACACTAAATGAACTATAGGGCTTCAAGTAATATATATCTGTATGTTAGAAAATAAAAGAATTTAGTAACTGATCTTGTTTTTCACTGCTAAAAAAAAAAATAAACTGTCCAATTTTGCAACTGGCTGCTTGCCCTAATCCAGGATTTGGAAAAGTGGGGAAAGAACAGCTGGTTGTTAAATAAAACTATTTAAAAATGCCAAAAATAAATAAATAAATAAGAAAATAATCTTTCTAAGGTAGTTTGCAGTGTGCTCAAGAAGGGTTTTCTATATTCCCCATTGCCATCAAAGTAGAAATAGATTTTTTCAAAAAGTAATTGGTTAAGGCAGCAGAATGACAACTAAACTTAAGGTTCCCAACTCTAACAAATCAACCTTGAGTTTATTGATATCAATTCAATTAGTAATGTCTAAATAACTCCAACATAACTGCACTGTAATACAGAGAAATCGGGTATTGCATCTATTTAATGGTAGCCATCAAAAATCATCAGTAAAAAACAAAGGAGCAAAACTGTAAAAAATCCCCTCCCATACCCCATTATCTATAATTCACTCAATAATTTTTAATTACCAGGCAGTGATTCTCTCAGGAGAAAAATTCTACTCCAACCACAATTCATAAAGCTGGCATACCTCAACTTGAGACTTCCCCTTACACTTCTAACATATTTAGTATTACAATTAGACATATTTTCTCTTAGACTAGGGAGAGTAGGAAAAAAGCCTCAATTCATAATAAAGAGTAAAAGCAGAAGGAAGAGCAGGTGTACTGCCTCTACCACCTTTTGTCTCTTACTTGTTACGTGTAAAATTGGACTTAGGGAATTATTTAAAATTGTAATATTTCAATATTATTTTCTAGGAAATTAAAGAAAAAGGTATAACAAGTTCAAATGACAAAGAAAAGTGGGTCACTGTTTAATACCTTCTGCTTACTAATTTTGATTTCTAGCACCTAGCACAGTAGGCATACAATTTATGAACTGATGCTAAAATAGAAGAGTTATTTTCTTACCTGAAATTTAACACTATTTGAACTTCCTTTAAATTGTTATTTTGTTCAATAATTTAAAGAAAAATATCACCAGTTGTGAGATTAAAAATGAAGTTGTGAAACCTATTCTACTAAAATGCTTGAATGACCTTGGACCAATCTGGCCAGTTCCTTTTAGCTCCACTATTCTTTTTCACAGTCATATACAAAAAGGGCCATGTTATACATACTGAGGGAGAACTGAGGAGAAATAAAAATAAATAAATATTAAAGTCTAAAAGAAGCGACAATAGAAATTCCATTTACCCTTAAGAAGTCCTCATTTTTGGTTCACATTACAGGTTCTCTGCTTTAAGAAAAAAATTTCGTCGAAGATTTTTTTCAAAAGAGATCTCCCCCATTGCAGTTATGTATTTAAGAATAATATATGCTACTTTGGACATTATGGGGGAGGGCAGAATTTAAGCTAACATATCAGAAAGCACATAAAGAGCCAAAAGGAAAAAAAAGCTGCCTTAAAACTACATCCTAAATTCATGGAAAAACAACTTAACTGATACAATACAGCATCTTTGTTTTTTAAATTATTGATTTTTAGAAAAAGTGGGAGAAAGAATGGGGGGAGTGAAAGAGAAACACTGATTTGTTGTTCCACTTATTCATGCATTCATTGGTTGATTCTAAAGCCTGCAACCTTGGCATATCAGGACAACACTCTAACCAACTGAGCTACCCAACTGGGGCTGCAGCATCTATTTTTGGATTACTGATATTTACTACTGTTTCATTTTTTTAATGTAGTAAAGACTTTTTTTTTTTAATGTGTTTTTTGTTCTTTTTTTATTGCAAAGACATTTCTATAACTTTTTTATTACGTTTTTATTACTTTTAAGAGTTATATCTTATTTTGGGCATCTCATAACCAAATTGACATTTAAATGCTGATATTTTTAAGGATACATATTTTCCATCTCTCTTCAACCAATGCCAAGGTAAGAAAAAATTTTAAAGGCAATCCCCTGAAAAACATCTGAAAATTTTCACTGTTTTGCCAATATAACTGCCTACCAAAAATGGCAAAAACATCTTTTGCCATATTCTATCATTTTTCTGAAGCTGTGTCATAATTTCTTACTTGACCTTCAAAGTTTGAAATCTGGACAATTAAGGACTTTCTGGAACAAGTCAGACTGGCTAAACTTTTACTTGGTAATTTTTCCTTAAAACAACATATAGCTTAAATGAAAGATGAATGTTTGCCATCTCCAAGAAAACAAAGAACTTAAGCTACGTAATTTTCTAACATTTGAATTATTAGATCCTAGAAATAATTGTTTAAAAAGGTCTCAAATTAAAGAATAACTGGAATGGAATACTTAAGTAGAGTTTTGCCTGAATAAAGAATTAAATAATATATTGAAGTTTCACCAAGCTTTCTTAATTGTATGCAGGTAACCACCAATCTGGTGATGTATGTTGAAGACTGAGCACTAAATTTCCTTTACATTTATATCAGATTTTAGTGAGATTTTTCAAGTTTTGAAATCAATGTAAGTATTTAACATACTATAATAAGGTGGCTAAGAGCACGAGCTTTGGAGTCAGACCATCTAGGTTTGAAACCTAGTTACATGAAGTTACCTAGCTTTGCAAAGGTTTCAGCTTCTTCATCTATAATATGAAGAAAATAATGGTACTCATAGGGTTGTCATAAGGATTAAATAATATGATATCTGTAAAGGAGAGCAGCAATAGTATTACCTGAATATCCATTATTTAGTATACACCAGGCATCATTATTTTAACTGTACATTTACACAATAATGCAGTATGGTTTTGTTCTAAAACTTGTAATGTATTATTTCAAAATTAACTTCCTTATGATTTTAAAAGTAATGTCAACTTTAAAATAATAGTTTTACTGTCATTTAAAAAAATAAATCTTCACCAAAATATTTTAATTTTTCTTTTCAAAGTTATTCAATTAAAGCCTGTTTCATTTTTCATGTTTAAAAACATACTGGCCCCAAGTACTACTGGAAACTCATTATAACGGTTCTTCATAATAGCAGAATTTAGTTTTTCAAAGGAGGAAAATAAGATATACAAATTCCAAAAGGTTCCTGTTATAAACGTGTCATCTAGCAGATGACCCACCACAAACTAGGAGGTCCCCACTACAGCAAAACTCTATCACAATAAACCCTTCATTACCCAGTTAAAAAACAAGAACATCAGTTCTTCTCAATTATCAAGGATTAAATTATATTTAATTTAGGTTCCATGTCAAGTATATTATATTTTGTGATAAATACAAAATAAGTAGGTTCTTTGAATACTGACTGCCCAAGCTAAATACTATGTTTTTCTTTGTAACATGATCATTTAGTAAGTTTATGAAACTAACAGGTTTTAGTAGGTTGGTCAAACATTCTAAACAAGTAGCTTAAATATTATTTCCAAATAAAACCAGGAACAAGGCTTTGTTTGGAGGAAAACAAAAATGATAGGACTATAAAACAAAGAAACAGAGAATTTTGGAAAGAACACAAAAAACTGAAGAAATAAAAATATTCATATATACTGTGAATATGTACATTACTGAATACATACTAAACTTTTACTAGTAGGTATACTTCATTTCTTGAGTATTTCCAAATAGCTTCAGCAGGATTCTTACGCACACAAGGACAGAGTACTAATGTTACCTCTTTTGCTGTATTACTTAGTAAGATCAAACGAAAGATAAAATAATTATCCAATTGTTCAATTTCTTAATTTTTCCCCCTGCTTTCGAAGTATACTTACATTGGACTGAAAAACTTCTGAGTTAACTAACTAAAGAAATGCTGTAAAGCTAGATTTTAAAATAGCAAGAAGAAAACTGGAATGAGTCCAAATGGGATTAATTTAATTCCCATTAGTGATAGTCATGAGCATCACGCAAAAAATTTCACCATTAACAAAAATGACCAGATTGTCTGCCAATAACCAAATAAATTATCGGAGTCTTCTGAGAAAGTATATGAAACATTTTTAATGTCCTAGTGGCCAATGCCTCAGCCTATAGAGAAAATGGTATCAAGATTTAGAAGGTTACGTAACTATTACTACTTTTATATTCACATTAATACTACATATAATAAATAGTCCCACATATACTGGTCATAATATGTATTATAATAATTTATAAGAAACACTTACTGGGTAAATTTTTTGGATGGATGGAAGGATGGGTTCAGGTAGGGCTATAAAAAAAAAAAGTTTAAAGCTTCCGTGATTCATGTAATTCATTTTACAAAGCAGTAATTTGTAAGCTAAGACCCTAAGGTATGAAACTATAAGGGTTTCTGCTAAAAGTCAACAGTTTCCATATATTTTGTGAAGTTAATTCTGATCCCTAAAAATTTTTAATTCAGAATATATCTAAGTTGACAATTTAAGGTTTGTTAATAAACTGTGAATATTTTAATGTAAACCAATGTTCCTTACGTGGTTTTAGAATAGTAGGCCATCAATAAATAGACACACATCATTTGGTCCAACATCAGACACACACAAAATAAGCAAGACAAGGATTGTTCTACAGATATTAAATAGACATTGTTAAGATGAATGCAGCTACCAAAAAAAAATATTTTAAGTACAGTCCAATGATACAGTCCAACAACAGTTCTATCATAATTGTGCCTTTATTATTTCATTTCTTCTAACAAACAATAACACTAAAATTAAGATAGTTTCTGGAAACTGATCAACTGAAGAAAACAAAAAAAAAATCTTCAACTTCATTAATTAATTTTTAAAAAGAAGGTCTCAGCAAATATTAGAAATCAAAATCAGATTTGAATCAACCTTTTATAAATAAAATTTCATACAAAGGAATCATTATCTTCATATGTTACTATATTTTTAATTACCATTCTTCATCCTTCAATAGCTTTACCCAAATCCAACCTCACTAAATTCATTGACAGTAATTTCACATCATCATACAGTAAATGACATTAGAGGCATAGTTCCCAATATTCACAATATAATAAATAACTAATATGTAATATCTTAATTATGTTAAGATACAAATGCATTTTCAAGATTTCTTTAAGATTAAAGACCAATATAGTACCATATGATAAACAATTATAATTTAAGAATTAGAAATACATTGTATATAATTAAACTCAGTAATAATCTTTAAATGACTTCTGGAATACACTGAAAGTAAATATAATCAATCATTATGACCAACTTACATGGTCTCCAACTATGATTATGAATGTATAAATTTCTATCACATAGTATTTAAATTTCCCTCCTGCATCATGCTTCATTCCCAAGTTGAAAATTAGAATAAAATAAAATACCATGATAGTCTGGAATACTCACAGTGTATAACTACGAATATCTGAGGAAAAAAACTCACTCATTACTTACCAGAATCACTCTTAGAAAATACATCTAATGACACATTTTTTTCCCAGAGGCATTCAAACGCTCAAAATTCTAGAAGACGCTACAAATAAACTTAAGGCTTAGTCACTTTAATTCTAAAAGTCTCTGTATTTGTATAACATTTTAATGGCTTTCTAATAATTTTTGTTAAAATATAGAAGTTAAATTGGGAAATCTTACTAGAAATTAGTTTACTTAATTAAAAACCTAAATTCCTTTCCTACTAAATACTCCTAATAAATTAAAATTATAATTTAAAAGAGGGTGAAGAAAAGGTTACAGAGAATATTTTTTAAAAGTTTATCTCATTCCAGAGTTATAATTAGAATGCCAGGAGAGTAATACAAATACTAACCACTGGCTTAAGGTCCTTTAATAGAGCCTTTAGAACTAAGCAATCTGGAAGCTTCTGGGGTGAGAAATATTCAGTAAATCGCTGTCTGACAAACTTAGATTTAAACACTGCTCATGGCAGAAGCAATCAGTGTACTGCAGGAGTTATGTACTAACACTATCCTGAGAACAACCTCAAAGCACTTAGTAGTCTTTCAAATGTTTATTTTACTCCAAAGCAACATATATTCTGGAGAATCTTGCTATTACATGTACTTTTGACTTCAAAATTTTGTACTTCGATCTTTTCAATGTCTCTCTCAAAAGCAAAATAAGACAAAACAAAAGCTTATTATTGTCGTATATGAGTGATAGCACCTTGAGTATAGCTTATCTATAAGATTTTACTTTGCCTGCAGTTCATATGATAGCTTTCTGGTCAGGCCCTCACAAATCAATATACAGGGTGGGGAAAAGTAGGTTTACAGTTGTTCATATAGAAAATAATACAATGATTAATCAATAATAATGCAAGAATAAACTGTTTCACTTACAACTGTAAACCTACTTTTGCCAAACCTGTACATAAACATTCCATATTGACTCATCAAAAATTCAACTAAAAAAAAAGCAAATTATCAATGCTAGGCAACCATTAATTTTGAAAATGCAAGAACAATTTAAAAATGCCTAAGAGACAGTTCTATATCTGAACACATGATAATATTACATGAACATTCATTCATGCTTTCATCAGTCACCTTACCTTTTCAAGCATATGTAGTCTATTACTGACTATTGAAATTCATTCTAGGAAGTATTTTAGCTAATCTTTTCAACCTTTCTACAAACAGAGGAACTGTTTCCTTTCTCTGTTCATGGTAGAAAAAATATTAAAGCATTTAAGAAGTTAAACAAACTTAAAGGTCATCTAATCCAACTATTCATGTTACCGATGAGAATATTAAGGCCAGAAAGGTAGAATAAGTTGGCCAAAATCATAAACACTGGTTCATTACGGCAGACCTGGGACTGCTCAATACACCTTGCAGACTTTTGTATAACAAAAAAGCAACTACTTATTTCAATCTCTCTAATTTCTTCTAGGAAGGAGTGGCTTAAATCTGCCCAAGTACAGAGCTGTTAATGTCCTTTAACAAAGACCTAGAACTTAGAAATGGTTGATGATAGTGCCATTCATTACAAACCAACCCAGTAAATGGAACACTGTCAAAAATAAAATATGTTTAACAAAATCTAAACCAAATTTTGACATAATTTCATTACACTAGTAAAATACTGATGTTTGAATTTTCAACTTCCTTACAAAACCACGTTGGGCCATCTGTGATTAAAGTACCTTTTTCTAATGAAGGCAATCAAATTAAAATTTCTAATGTAACGCATTAAGAATGGAGAAATAGGGCACATATGGATGTTCATGCATGTTAAATGCTTTAGTTAATTCTAATTTTTAAATCACAACTAAAACTAAAAGATTATGAATAGATAGTAGGTGGTGGTACATGAGGTTTGTCATATTAGTCTTTATATTTTATAAGAAATATTTCTAATCTGGTCAAGTTTTAATAAATGTGAATTGGACAGAGTTCACCAAAAAAGCATCAAAAGTAATTCATGTTTCAGACTGAACAGCAAAATTGGACAAGAAATGATTAGTGATATGTAAAGTAGTACCTAAAACAGCCAACATCTTACGTTTCAAATCCTATTAGAGAAGCAAATCAGTCATCAAACTAATATATATTTAAGATTGGTCAGCAATAAAAATACATGTATTATAATTAGCTTGAAATTTTTGACTACACAGAGAAAGATTAACCTTTCTGATAACTGAATCATAAAACTTTGACCCATTTACCTATTTAAGTCTCTTTCACCAAGTAAAAAAAAAATCATCTGATTTCATCATTCAAATAAAAACACTCTTATTTAATATACATTATAAAGCATCTACAATTACAGTCACATATAAAGGAAATAAATCCTACTGTCTATAAATAAGCTGATAAATTTTTGGCACATATCTTTTTAATATTTGCTATACATATGAATATATACACGAACTCAAATATAGTTACTATTTTTAAAATAAAATAGGTGTCATGTTGTACATGACTTAGTGTACCCTGAATATTTTCTTATATCATAAATATCTGAAAAACATGACTTTTAGTAGCTGTGTAAATTTCATATTGGAATATAATTAATTTAATGATCCCCATTCATAAAAACTTAGATTTCTAAAATGTTTTACTATTTCAACAAACACCATGAAAAACAGTCTTATAAATAAATCCAAGGAAGTATCTCTGATTAGTACTTTACAATAAATTCCTAGAAATGGAACCACTGAGTCAAAGGATATGAACATAAATATTACAACATCACTTTCTAAACTGTAGCAGTATCATTAACCCAGAACAAATCAGATCCTAGACATCCTGGAGAATGGTATTCTATAACATTAACATCAAGTTTTTCACCCTATCTGCACGCCAGCTGAGAGGGAATAAGAGCTTCTTTGACCAAAAGGAAAATCATTTAATTCCTATCTCAAGTTAAAAAAAAAAAACATGACGAACAGTACATGAGCTTATTTTATAGGCCTTCTGAACATTCATTTGCCTCAAAAAAAATGGCTCCACAATACAGTGGTGAAAGTTCCTTGAATACAAAAAACTGTCAAAAAACAACAACAAAACACAGTGAAACTTCTTTTTAATGTTTTCCAGGGAGTAATGCTTCTAAAACAATTGTTCAAAGTAACAAAGCAGAAAATATGGTCTAATGGACCATAGGAGGAAATTTTTAAAACAATGCTATTTGAAGAAGGGTCATTAGGGAAGATACCATAATAAAGTTTAACTGCAATACCATTTTAAAAATTGGGGAAAACCCATAATACTTACTTTGTAAGTAGTGCAAAACCATCAATACAAGACTATAGCTGCTTAAAGTACCACGACTGGCATCATTTATATCATGGTGACTTGCCCACTTCTTAATCACCAGTACTAACGGACGAACTCGATTTTCAACTGAAAGTAAAATTAAAACTTAAAAATGGTAAGAAAACATTATAGTTTCTTTGAAAGTTTACATCATTTCCCAGCTCCATGCCAATAAAAAGAGCACCGCATCCCTGTGTATTAAACAGTGTTCACCATAAATGTGTCTTACTTCTAAAGCACACTTTAGTTACCTTTTTAAAAAATGCTAATTATCAAAAATCATTTTACTGGCCTTAACTCTGACAGTATATAATTTTAGTGAAGCAACATATTTTACATATAATACAATAAGACATTATACATAAACACAAAGAAATGTCAGTACTTACTACAAACATCTTTAAAAAGGAAAAGAGAATGACAAACAGAAAGGCTGATAATTATTGGGAAATAAACAAAAACTTACGATATGCATAAGTTCTGAGAAGGAATGTGTTTCTTATTCCAACAATATTGTTTACATTCAAGTCGAATTCCACACAACTATTAAAAAAAGAAATAGAAAAACTTTAGCTCAAGTACAAATTAAACTATCTCACTAGTAAATAAGTTAATATCCGTAAGTCCAATGATGTAAAAATAGCATGGGTCCAAAGGACAAAGACCATAAAGTGAAGCACTAAAGAAATAAGAATGAATATATACTCAGTATGTTATTTTATTATGAGTGTGTTAAAAATATAAAATGGGATTACTGCTGAAAAGATCCGTAATTATCCTTAACAAAAGAAATCTAAGTTTTGCAACCCAATGTTTTCCAGATTAAAAAAAAAATATATATATGTGACCAAAAACATTTCTAGGCAAGTTATCCCACTAAGTTACATATTCTCAACTAATTTGGAATTACAGTATCATTTGATTTTTTATAAAAACAACCAGGAATAAAAAGCCAAATAAAAGTAGAGGCAAAAAATAAATAAGAGCTCTGTCCTTACAAAACATTCCTTCCAAAAAATTGGTAAATTATAATACCATGACAAATTTAGCTATTAACATCTGGGAAAAACTATAACAAACACACAACAGAAGAGATGCTTCTTTGAAAATAAAGATATGCACTTCACAATTTAGAAAAAGGGCAATAATGATAATATCTACAAAAATGGCTAAGCTCAAAAACAAAGAAAAGATTACTTAATGTATAAGAGTTTTTTTATGAGGCGTCTGATCAAGATGGTAGCGTAGGTAATCATGGTACTTGCCTCCTCCCACAACCACATCAAAATTACAACTAAACTACATAACAACCATCATTCAGAACCACCTGAAATCTGGCTGAATGGAAATCCTACAACTAGGAAATAAAGAAGCAGCCACATCAAGGCTGGTAGGATGGGTAGAGATGCAGAAAGAGCTGGTCCCACACCCACATGTGGCCGATAAAAATTGGGAGTGATATCTCAGCTGCAGAGGTCTCCTTCAGGAGCGAGGGGTCCTAGCCCCCTACCAGGCCGCCCAGCTCAGGGTTCCAGTGCCAGGAAGAGAAGTTCCCATAACTTCTGGCTATAAAAATCAGCAAGGATTGAGAATGAGGGAGAAGGAGGGCTGCTGGAGTCCCAGGCTGTTCCTCTTAAGGGGCCCATGCATGGAATTACTTGGACTCACTCCCTCTGAGCTCTAGCACTGAGCAGTAGCTTGAAAGGCATCAGAGACATATAAGGAGAAACTGAATTGTTTTGAATCAGGGCAAGAGCTGGAGGGGCAGCTTTCTCCCAGAGAGAAGTGCTAGCAGAGGCCACTGTTCCTTTGATGAGTCCTCCCCACACAGAGCTAGCAGGAAGATGCCATATCTGAGTCTCCATTAACCTATCACTGTTTGCCTCGCCCTGATGACTACCTGAGGCCCTGCCCCACCCAACTTTCAGGCCCTCCCAAGCTGTTTCAAGTGCTTTTCCATTCCAATGGCCTGGCTCATGCTTCAGATTTTCCTAATATCTCTCAAACAAATAGCCTCTGGCTTCAGTGTGCCCCATACCTCTCACTAAGTGGCCCAAGGCCAGCCACTAGCAGCAGCCAGCCTTGGTTCACAGCTTGCCCTCGCCTGGGCAACTCCAAGCCCAGCAAAGGTAGCAGCTATCTGCAGACCACTTTGTAGCTCATGCCAGGTGGACCCAGGCAGAACAACAGGTGGTAGCTGACCTTGGCTTGTACCTCCCTGAAAGCCCCAGAGCCAACTCACCCAGTGGATAGCTTCAGACCACGTTAAAGTACCACCACCAAACCCCCTCCACAAGTGACACACTAAAGAGGTGGACTCAGCAGGCACCAGAGCCCCCCTGAAGTAAGTTCTGCTCTGAGAGTTGGGCCACAGAACAGCTGATCCTCCACAGTGGTTGGAGGTCAGTGGTCAGTGGTCGAAGCCAGTTCTTGCAGCTGTGCAGCAGATCAGCCTGGGGCTAAATCCCTCCCACTGATATGCCAACAGCAATTAAGAGTCAACTACAAGGGGAAGGGGCACACAGCCCACTCGGTGGGGAGGGGGATGGCACCTCAAGTGCCCAGCTTGGGTAATCAAGGAGGCTGTGTCACTAGACCCTACAGGACACCTACTACATAAGGCCACTCCACCAAGCCTGAGAGATGTAGCAACTCTACCTAATACATAGAAACAAACAAAGAGAGGCTGTCAAAATGAGGAGACAAAGAAACATGTCCCAAATGAAAGAACAGAACAAAACTCCAGAAAAAAACAAAATGGAGACAAGCAATTTACTAGATGCAGAGTTCAAAACACTGGTTATAAGGATGCTCAATGAACTTAGGGGAGGAGTAGATGACCTTAGCAAGAACTTTAACAAAGAGATAGGAAACATAAAAGTGGAACTAGAAAACATAAAAAAGAACCAGTTAGGAATGAAGAATACATTACAGGGGCCCTGGCCAGTGTGGTTCAGTTGGTTGGAGCATTGTCCCATGCACCAAAAGGTGGCAGGTTCAATTCCCAATCAGGGCACATACCCAGCTTGCGGGTTCCATCCCTGGTCAAGGCACATGTGGGAGGCAACCAATCAATGTTTCTCTCTCCCTCCCTCCCTTCTTGTCTAAGAGCCATAAAACAAATAAACAAAAAAACTATCATGGTTAAAAAATCAGGTTCATTAAAAAAATAAAATAAAGAACACATTACAGGGAATCAACAGTACAGCAGATGAAGCAAAGGTTGGGAAGATAAGAAAGCAGAGAACATCAAACCAAAATAGTTTAAAAAAAAATTAAAAATCCAAAAACATGAAGATAGTGTAAGGGGCCTCTGGAACAACTTCAAGCCTACCAACATTCACATCATGGGGGCAAGGGGTGGAAGAAGAGAAGGAGCAAGAAATTGAAAACCTATTTGAAAAAATAACGACAGAAAACTTCCCTAACTTGGTGAAGGAAACAGACATACAAGTCCAGGAAGCACAGAGTCCCAAACAAGATGAACCCAAAGAGGCCCACACCAAGATACATCATAATTAAAGTGCAAAAGATTAAAAACAGAGTGAATCTTAAAAGCAGCAAGAGAAAAGCAGTTACTTACCTATATGGGAGCTCCCATAAGACTGTCAGCTGATTTCTCAACAGAAACTTTGCAGGCCAGAAGGGATTGGCAAGAAATATTCAAAGTGATAAAAAGCAAGGACCTACAACCAATATTACTCTACCCAGCAAAGCTGTCATTTAGAATCAAAGGACAGATAAAGAGTTTCTCAGACAAGAAAAAGCTAAAGGAGGTTCATCACAACCAAACCAGTATCACATGAAATGTTAAAGGGTCTTCTTTAAGAAGAAGAAGGAAAAAAAAGGATAAAAAACATCAACAAAACGTCAATAAATACATATCTATCAACAAATGAATCTAAAAACAAAATGAACAAGAACAGAAACAGACTCACAGATACAGAGAACATTTTGATGGTTGCCAGATGACAAGTGGATTTGGGGAATAGGTGAAAAAGGTAAAGGGACTGAGAAGTACAAATTGGTTGTTACAGAAGAATAATGGGGATGTAGAGTACAGCATAGGGAATATAATCAATAATATTCTAATAACTATATCTGGTGTCAGATGGGTGCAAGTTTTATCAGGATGATCACTTAGTAAGTTATATAAGGTCTAATCACTGGGGTGAACACCTGAAACTAATATAACAATGTACATAAATTTTAACTGAAAATTTTTAAAAAAAGGTTTTTAAAAAATTTTTAAAGTTTCAACCTCTAAAAATAAAAGTTAAGAAAACACTGCCTAAAATAAAAACTTAACAAATTTACTTTCTACAGCTTTTAATCATAAAATTTGAAATCTACCATTTCAGGCTTTCTTGTTTTAGGGAAAGAAACCCTGTAATTTTTCAATTATCCATGCATACTAATAAAAACAGAAAGTGGCATTAATCCTTTAGATATCACGTATATATTTGGATATGGGAGAAAATGGTAATAATGAAGTTATATTCTTTAATTGTGTTTGTACAAATCTAACACTGAAACTAGTTTTCACTTCCTCTATATAACTCAACAGAGAGTAAAACACTTAGATGGAAACTAGTCTGAAATTAAAAACTTTTCAAAAATATGAATTCAGAGCTTTAAAAATATCCATAGCACATGCTTCAACTTCTACTTCTGGAAATACTAAAGTAATCCTTCATATAGAAAATAATTTATGCACAAAATGCTTATTCTAACAGGGGAATGGGTAAGTTAATGACAATATATTCACTCAACGAAATACTGAAACTCATTAAAAATGAGCCAGAAAATATTCAGTGATATAAGCAGTGTTCATGATATCTGGTTAAGTAAAAAGGGCTCAATTTAAATTTTAAAAACTCATACATTCATTTGCATAGAAAAGGGACTGAAAGGTTTACATCAAAACATTAACATCAGTTATCTCTGGTTGTCAGAAGTAGAGTTGTTTATTTTTAATAGTTTGTACGGAGAAAAATTATTAAATGGAGTTTATAAAGAATACTTAAAAATAAAGTCTGCATAATAATCTTAAATCAAATAAGAATTGTTTATATAACCATATATTTTAAAACAATTATAATTAGCTAATAGTTCACTTTTGTTTACTTTGTTTTATCTCCCTGTATCTTTGTGCTTTAGATTTTATTTACTTGATAAAATTCAATAAATATTTCTAGAGTAAATGGATGTTTTGATGAATGAAGGAGACGGTTTGAGCCAGGAATATATCTAAAGTTTTGTTTAAAATATATATATTTATGACCAGCTGGGCATGGCTCAGCGGTTGAGTGTTGACCTAGGATCCAGGCAATTGGGGTTAGATTCCCAGTCAGGGCATATACCTGGGTTGAGGGCTCGATTTCCAGTTGGGGTCGTGCGAGAGGCAGCCGATCAATGACTCTCTCATCATTGATGTTTCTCTCTCTCTCTCTCCCTCTCCTTTCCTCTCTCTGAAATCAATATATATTTGAAAAATAAAAATTAAATAAATAAAATATGTATATTCAGTCCATTCTGGTTACTCACAGTAGTTATGTTCTATAAAATCACTGCAAACACTGAATTAAGTGACTACTAAACAAACCATTGCTCCTAGGGGAAAGGAAGAGTTATGTTTCTACAAGTCTTCAGTCACATTTTCATCAACTAATCAATATTTAACTAATTTTTATGTGCATTTCTGTTTAAAGATACCTTATTTAATACACTGTTGATTCATTAGCAGTGAACTCACAGCCAAGAGCACTGTACCTCATGCCTAAACAAAGCATATCTAACACACATATTTTTCCCATAAGGAACATCACAGCTTTGTACACAGAAACACTAGACAGTACTTCAGCACTATGCTTGGGGCCATTTTAAACAGCAAAATCACTCACAAAAAGTACAAAAAAGTAAAAAACAGGGCACTAACTAAACTGTAAAAAGGACAGTATGAGAGCTGAAACAAGAAGGCAGAGTGTTGTATTGTTTAACCTCAGCTGGGAACACACGCATTATGTGACTCAAAATTTTCCAAACTTGCACACGTCCACATATGACCATGAAAGTGGTAAAAGAATTAATTTAGGGGGGAAGAGGATTACAAAACAAATTTCATCAAGTAAAAGAATTCGCAAATATGGAATCCATGAATAATGAAAACCAGCTGTGTGTATACTTACACTTATATTTCAATATTACTTTTATAAAACCGGGCTAGAAAAAACCTGATTTATCAGAATTCTATCTACTTTTTTGGAAAACAATAAATCTTTAACCAAGGAAAGAGTCAACACTTAATATTTACATTTAATATTCAGATATTATCTAAAAGATTCTAATTCTAATATCCATGAGAAACTCAGAACCCAGGCAGGTAGAATATATGGATTTACAACCACCTCTCTGACACATGAAATTTCATCAATTAAGATGTGTTCTTAGTGCATTCATTACATTTTCAAAAGGCAAATGATCATTAAAAAATCTGAAATACAGCCCGACCGGGCGTGGCTCAGCGGTTGAGCGTCGACCTAGGATCCAGGCGATCGGGGTTCGATTCCCAGTCAGGGCACATGCCGGGGTTGCGGGCTCGATCCCCAGTCGGGGGTGTGCAGGAGGCAGCCGATCAATGACTCTCATCATTGATGTTTCTATCTCTGTCTCTCCCTCTCCTTTCCTCTCTCTGAAGTCAATAAAGATATATTTAAAAAAAAAAAAAAATCTAAAATATAAATAGGTATATATTCCTTAAACTGGGTAGTCTCAAATACTCCAAATTTGAAGCAGAATAACTACATACAATTAACCATGAAAAACTGCTCAGACCATTTTCAAAAATTATTTCAAAGATCAAATCAAGTAAGTTCCAAAAATAATGAAGATAAGTTATGTTATAGCACACATTTCTTAATTATCTACATCAAAAGAATATCTAAAAATTATCTAAAGCAACTGAAAAAAGGGAATTCAGTAATTATTTACCTGACTTTATCCCTGAACTTCACAATTGGCACTTTTGCTCGAATCAGCTGAGGTCTCTCAATGTAGCCAGCTAAAGGATAAAAGATAATGTGAAGATCTGTAAATACTTCTCAAATTTATAGTGTACCAATGTACATTTTTTTAAAGTAGATTTTACCAAGCTAAAATCATTTAAGAAAACACAGTCTCTGAGAAATAAAGCCAAAAAAGGACACTATCAAAACTTCTTCTAAGACTGGAATTTCCAATACTATTTAGAGGGCTTAATATTGAAGTTATTTTCAGAAATGTGGTTTAATATCAAAAAAGATTTATGAAGAAGTTCATCAGAGTATTATAAACTTGAAAAATATCTAAGCTAGCAGCAGTGGGATAAATGGATAAATTTTTGTTCAGCACATGGCAAGACATTATGGCAGTTATAAAAATCATTACGTACAGTGTCATAAATGTGGAAATGCTTGTAACATGATACATGGGGCAGAGATATATTCAAATAAGTATGACTTCTAGGGGAAGAACACATACCTACATATTTTTTATCCCATCAAAAAAAATTTTTTTCCTGAGTTCAAAGTAATACATCGTTCATTGTGGAAATTTGGGAAAATACAGAAATGTATAAAAAAGAAAATGCAAACTTTCCCAAATGAGCAATTTCCTAATGTTTTTAACTAAAGAAAAATGTAATGCCAGATTTAAAAACTAAAAATTTCTGTGCCCTGCCTGGTGTTGTTTATTTGGTTGGGCATTGTCCTGTGTACCAAAAGGCTGACAGTTTGATTCCCATCAGGACACATGCTCAGGATGCAGGCTTGATCCCACGTAGGGGGTGTGCAGGAGGCAGTGAATCAATGTTTCGCTCTCTCCCTCTCCCTTCCTCTCTCTAAGAATCAATAAAAATATGTACTTTTAAAATTTGTTATAATGCTTTACCACCAAAATCATAGAATATACCAAGCTTCAAATAGAATTTATGTGTAAGAATTCAGTGAGATTTAGTGGAAAATAAGGAGTTAAAAGTTTCAAGTTCCAAGTAAAAGTTCTAACACCAACAAAAACCAACTGTACTACTGCAAGTTACTAATCTAATCCCATGGTCATCAGTCTCCTTAACTATTAAAAGCCAGAAAAAGAAAAAGAAAAAAAAGGCAACTTTCATTTGAGTTAGATGATCTCTAAGGTCCCTTCCATATTTAATATTTATAATTCTAATACTGCTATTAAAACCCACTTAAGGTATAAATTACTCCCTTATTTCACAGATCTGAAAACTTAACTCCAATAAAATAATTTATTTCTCTCCAATAATAGATGTAAGTTGTTCAAGGGTAGTAACATTTTACTTGACTTTGAATTTTCCACTTAAAAGTCTGACACTTAAGGAATATGTATCTGTTAAATAAATGCAACAATGTCTTTCCAACATCACACAGTTAGTGTGACTTCAACTTTCCACAATATTCTGTTTAAGTTTAAAATAAATTTGAGATGGCTTAACAAGTGGATTAAAATCTGCTTAGTTAGCTTATTCAAAGAATAAAATCTTATAATAAAATTGCCTGTCAACAATTTTGCTTCCTGTTGGAGTAATTCATTTGGGCTTCATGTTCAGTGATCATATTTTTTAAATCTGTCATAAATTGCATGTCACTGCAAAACAAACAAAATTCTCTCTCCCTCACCTGAATAAGACTTTACTTGTATCATTCTTTTGGCTTTTCACAGATACTTTACATTGCTGCTATTTATATTCTATGCCTTAGCTTCCCTAACAGTCTATAGCCTTTTGAGAAAAAGAACTGAAGCTTATATATGAGTTCTCCAGGGCATTCAGCGTGTTAACTTGCAAGTAAACTCTATAAAGAATTGTTGAATAAATGGTTCTCTTCTTAATCAAAACTTAAAGGAATTCATTTGGAAAAAAGGATCCACATAATACCTACCCTAACCAGAAAATAAATAATTCTTACCAGAAAATAAAGTGAGAGAAACATTTTAAATAAATAGTTATGTCAGATGACATATGAACTTGAGGCATATCCGACTTACAAAGTCTAGTACAGAAGTGTTTATGGACTAAGGTGAGTATATGCCGTGCTTCAGTCTTCTGATTTACCTGAAAAAAACACTGAAAAGTTAAAAATAAAGTGTTTTTTCATTATCTTTCTAAATTTAGTGTTTTATTTTCTTAATGTATCTCAACAAAGAAAAAACATATAAAGTATACTTTTCTTTGGAGTTACTTTTCAATATACACTACATTGCATTTTAGGAAAAGTCAGCCTTTATGTTGTCTTTCACATCACAATTCTAAGTCAATTTCTGATTTTAAACCTAAAGAACAATTTAAAAAGAAATACTGAAAGAGCCATATGTCACGTTTTCCTTTAGTATAAATGTACAAAAACCAATGTTTTCCCAAGAAAAATAATCAGTTTTAACTTCCTATAGCATGCTTTATTTCCCCATCCAGATTGAGGATAAGGGTCAAGTCTATCAGTGTAAGTTGTGACAACATGATTTAGACACGTGGATAAGACTAAAGGTTAGTGGGATGGGCCTGAGCATACTATAATTACGTGAGAGAAAGTATTAATTAAAAAACTCTAGTATTCTCCACTTTGTTCATTATTTCTGAGTTTTTTAAAATTTTCCTTTGTATGATTTCAAAGCCTAGAAAAATAGTTTCTTTCCTGAAATAAATCTCTTTCTGATTTGCATTAACTAGAAGCCAATTTCATTAGTGGAATAACAGGAATAGTAAAAATATATATTACCATTCAATAGGTTCTTCTCATATTTTTAAAGAGGTGGACTATAAGGCCTTTAAAAATTATACTAAAATTAATTTAATCTTTGGTAATTCAGAAGAGACCTCAGCATATTAAAAAGCCTGCTTCAGGTCAGCAATTACTGTGGTATTAACTATACAGAAGAGTATCAGTTAAAAGGAAATTCAAATAAACACAATACTAAATAACAAAATTTAATAAAACAAAAAAAAGAAACAAAGCCAAAATATCAAAAGAAATATATCACAATAGCCTTATTTCCTTATTTTAAATTTCAGTGAAATCACTCTTTTTGTATTCCCAAAATAAGAACTCCAAACTCCATAGCATTTTCCAGGGGGTAAAAAAATAAAGATTAAAAATAGAATCACTGAAAATTCAAATGGAAAGGAAATATATCAAGACGATAATGCTGACACATGCTCTTCTTCTTTGCTGTACCCTATAGCATATCTAACTCAATGATGGTTCAAAACAGAGTCAGAGCTCTTCAAAAACACAGTGAAGCCATCTCACTTTAACAACAGAAAAATAAATTAATGCTAAAATTCCTGTTACGCTTATTGTACAAACACCTTAAAAGAAAAAGAAGTATTTCCTGGCTTTCCTTGAATTACTATAAACAAAGAATCCAAGGAAGTAATTAAAACAAAACAAGTTATTTTCCTCAATGACTTTTACATAAAATTTCTTACGTGACTTAATATGAGAATAAATGTTTCATTACTTACTGGTTCCTCTTTAACAACTAGACATAAGTCACCATCACTGCTCCGGGTACCAAATCCATTTAAAGAGGACCCAACCAAAAAAAGTCTGCTTTCTAGAAAACAGAAGAGAATTATAACGTATTATTTATAATTTAAAAAAAATTCATATACATAATGGGCATGAAAAGCAGGGAAACATACGTGGAAATAACATCTGAATTTCTCTCTGCAGCTGTGTTCGACAGAGTTCTTTTTTCTTTAAATCACTTCCTTGCTGCTGACAAGCTTCAAATAATTCCAGTATCTGCTGACTCAACTTGAATTAACCGCAAAAAAAAAGTAAAAAATTTGTTCAGAAATGTAAAAGTAATTACCACAGTGAGAAGTGTAAAACAATACTACCAACAGTACTTTAAAAATAAATACATATTTCCTCCTTAACACTTTACAGTCAAAACTACTGTTACCCAAGTAACAACAGTTACTTAGTAACTGAAAAAGTTACTAACTTTTACAAAGTAAAGTATCATTCACAAGTCACAGAAAAACATAGTCACAGATAATTCATAGTAAGTATAATCCAACCTTCGGTTGCTGTTTTTGGATGGCACATGAGCTAAGAATGGTTTTTATATTTCTAAAGGGTTATAAAAACAAACAAATAAATAGATGTGACAGAAGCCATATGTAAGCGGAAAAATCTAAAGTATTTACCGATCCTGAGTGAGCTCTCTATACACTACCCAGCAAACAGTATTTCAAACCTTTTCCTCTGTTTCTCTGGTCGGCATGATCTCCTGCACTCTAAATGCTATTTCCAACCTCAGACATCCGGCTTCATCCCCTCTACCCTCAGCGGGTGGCCTTGCATACTACTTCACAGAGAACAGGAGGTCATTCAACTATGGGAACACTCCACTCAACTTCTCCATACCATCCTGCAAACCAGTTTCCTTATATCCACACCTATCCGCTCCTCCAGTTCCAAAAAGCTTTTCTTACCTAACGCCAATTACTCCTATAAGCAGGACCCTTTCTACCTTCTGGGAATAGTATCTATGATTGTTTTCTTTTCAGAGTAGTCAATCTTCTCTCTCTACTGAATCTTTCCCATGAAATTTTATATGTAGCTAAAGTTTCTCCAACCTTAAGAAAAACAAAAACAAAAACTGTTCCAACTTCCCACCTTTTGCTCCTCCCCTTTAGAGCCAAACTTCCTAAAACAATTGTATATACTCTCAATTTCCATTTGTTTTCTCATTCTTTCCTCAATACCTTGTCCTGAATTCCAAATCTGTACATATTAAACTATCATCTCTAAATATCTAATTCGATGTTTCAAATGCACATTAAAGGCAACATGTCCACACAACTCATGAGGCCATGTTCCTCAATTTTTTCCATCAATCTTGGATCCAGCTCTCTTCTCTCCCTGGACAATCATATCCATACTCTTGGTTTCAATTACCATCTATATGCTGATGCTTACCAAATGTACATTTCTAGTCAATACCTTGCCCCTGAATTCCAAATCTGTACATATTAAACTATCATCTCTCAGTATCTAATTTGATGTCACAAATGCACATTAAAGGCAACGTGTCCACACAACTCACGAGGCCACGTTCACCCTCCAGTTCCTATTACACAATACACGTGCACACAGATCTTACTCCTATTTCATCTTATTCTCTCGGTGAACGACACTACCACCCATCCAGTTAGAGAGGCCAGACACTTGGAACTAACCCTCAATGTCTTTTCTGTCTAATCCAGTGGTTCTCAACCAGGGGCAATTCTGTCCCCCACTGAACATCTGGCAATGTCTGCAGACATTTTGGGTTCTCATAACTGGGGAATAGTGGCATCTAGTGTGAGCTGAAGCCAGGAATTCGGCTAGATATCCTTATGTTGTGTAGGACAGCCCTCCCACACCAAAGAAAGTTGGTCCAAAATGTCAATAGTGCAGAGGCTTAGACAACCTAATTAATCTAGCATCAAATCCTATCAATTCCACTTTCCAAATATAACTTAAAGCCATCAATTTTTCTTCATCTTAACTACCAGCATTTCTTGTTCAAGTCACCAGGACCTTTTATGTATAAAACAATAACTTCCCTACATCCACACTTGTTGAACTTCATACAATAAAGTCAGAATAATTTTAACACATTTCTCTTTCCTGCTTAAAAAAACTCACCTCTGTTCTTATGCTGAAGACCAAAAGGACACACAGGTCTCTGCATGATCTGCCCCTCTCCCCACTTCAGCCATTTTCCTCCTAATCAACAAAACTGTAGCCATCTTGGCCTCTCTGTCCTCTGCATACCCCGTTCTTTCTACATTAGGACCCCAAACGTGCTGTTCCTTCCTCTAAAGCATTCTCTCCACCCCTGCCACTCTTTCACTAGTTAACGCCTACTATTCCTCAGATCTCAGCCCAAATATTACCTCCTTTAGGACATCCCTCAGCACTGTAATTTTCCTTCATAGCACACATATATATGTATGTGTGTATATATATATATAAAAATAACTGTGATTTGCATGTCTCTAATGGACCTCCGTCTCACTACACTGTATGTATATGGTGAAGATACCATGTATATTTAGCACAATTTTGTGGCACATAGCAAGCACTGAGAAATAATTTGTTGAATACTAAATAAATACAGAACCTAATCTACTCCAGGAGTTTCAATTGTCACTTTTATTAAAGGTGACTTAAGGATTTATCTCTGTCCCTGGCCTTGCTTCTAAAGTATATACAGCCAATTCAGCTATAATACATTTTTTTGTAATACCAATTAGCTTACAGAAAATTGGTAAAGAGAAGAATGATATTAATTTAACATGTCAGTTGGGTTGATCTGTATGAGGAAATGAAATTGTGGAATCATAACCTTCACAAGAAAGAAAAAAAGCCCTCAGTTTGACTGCTGCACAGGCAGGAGTCCTTTTTAGATCTAAGACAACTAAAAAGCAGCACCTCTACCCAGAGTTCCCAATCAATAAAGGATACCCACAGCCTCGCACAGCTCTCTGCTGGTGTATTTCCTTTTGTGTTTACCTTCACAGTAGCCTCACTGACTCAGAGCTCCACTACTAACTGCCTGTCTCAGTGCCCACCCCAAGCCAATCTCCTCTATTCTGTATTTTTATTTATCTTTACTGTTGAAAGTATTACAGATGTTCCCCCCC